AAGTGGGAATTTATTTTTAAAAAATGGAAAAAATTGATCAAAAATTGTTTAAGTCTGGCAGAAAAGTAAAAATGTACATGTTTCAATGCTTCATACACATCTCAGTGTGAAATAGAAATGGTCTGTCATGATCTTGACAACACATCTGCTTTGCTCCGCCCTGCGCTCATTATCTCTCATCAGATCCACCTGTTCCTGCTGCTATTTAAGCCTCAGGATCCCAGCCTTTGGTGCCTGATTATTCAAGCTGGACTGTTACCTGGATTCCACCTGTTGTCGACCTTGAAGCTTTCCTCTGACCATGGTTTGGATTTGCCCTCCGGATCCATTGGTTCCTCTGCATGCTCTGGCTGCTGCAAGACAGCGCTCCTCTTCTCGGGTACTGGCTAAGCAACAAATAACTGAGTGCTGCGTCTCTAGACTTCACTCCTTCTTCTGTGCTTGGACGACATAACAAATAAATGCTTTGAATTTTCCCACTGTCTACCTCAAATGAATTGTGAGTCCTATGTTCTGAGCTAATTACATGGTCAACATCGATTGTTAACAAATGGGGGTGGCACCAGTTACACTGGTGCACTGGTTTTACTGTTCAGCTTTGATTTGAGAGACATCATCATGATGAAGTGGAGAAAATAAGAAAATGGGAAAATATGCAGAAGGAATGGGAAGCTGGATCTGCTGCTAAAACCATGGACTGCTTCGTTCTCAGAATGATGACTCCAAATGTTGCATTTAATGTAATATGGAAATCATAAATCAAATTGAATATTAAAGACCATGGATTTGCTTTTTTATTATGAATGTAAAACTTTTACACTTTTAGCAGTGGATTCAAGAAAGGGTTTTTCATGATCTAGCAACCCCAAAGACAAACAGCAGTGGTTCATGTCACAGCTAGCTGCTACTGGCAGTCAGAAAACGATCTTCTTTCAACACCAGTGCATACTTTTCACAAACTGAAAAATATGTTCTCTCAAAGAGGTAAAAACGAGAACAAACTGCCCCGTTCAGTAGATTTTACAGTTTAAAAAGATCTCTGATACAAAACCCCTGGGAAGTTTTGCATCAGTGGAAAAAGGGGAATGACCTAAACCCGCCTTTTCTGCAGAAGCCACGCCCACATCACATTTCTGATCACACAATTGACAGAAAGCACACAAGAAGGCAGTTCTATGGAAGAGTATTAGGGCCACTGAAAAAAAATTTTTTTACCGTTTTTTCAAAGACAGACAAAAATAAAAATATATAACAACTAAAACAGAATCTAAGTTTGTTCATGTTTACATGGCACAACTATTTGCAACCTAATATCAATAACTGCTTTCATGGTGAAAGTTTCTAAGCCAATAAAAGGTTTAATCACTTTCTCTTTAATATTGAACGAAATGTCAGGAAGTGTATTTTAGAAAAAACTTTGTATTTGGCTTTAGAGTTGCCCACAGCCACTCTTAAAGTTTGTCTTTCCATGAGTACAACATCTGACACTCCTCCCTTAAATGGAGTGCCTTGATGTGATGTGAAACAATCACATTTCAACATGGCATGTTCCAGAAGGTTTACTATAAACATCTTATGCAATGTCACACAGCTCTCGTCCACACTAAAAGCACAAACACACAGTCATCTTCTCCACCTTCTATCGTGACACGTGTGACCCTCCCGACTCAAATGTTGATGTGTGAGCTCAGATTCTTTTTCTGCACGCTCAATTAGCAGATTTCTTCACTTCAGCAATGAGGAAGCGTTTGATCCAAATATTTGGCTTCTTGATCTCTTCCTTGGGATGGCTGTTCGTCCTGTGCACCATGGCAATGGATTACTGGAGAATCACCCAGATAGGAGGACAAGGTGGTTCCTTTATTATCAAGGTGGCCTGGTACTGGTCCAACCTGTGGAAGGACTGTTTCACCGATTCCACTGCCGTCACCAACTGTAGAGATTATTCAGTCCTCTGGAATGTCAGCTGTGAGTTATCGTTTAATAATGAAGGTTTTGCAAAGTAGGAACTTTACAGTCTCTCAAGCTTTGTAAAGTGTGAGCATGTGCTAATGATATACTGTAAATGTTAAACTAATTCATGAGCAGAAAATACTTTAAACCAGTGTGATCAGTTAGGTGTGCAACATCTTTTGCTAAAAGCTCATACAGTCTTTAGTAAATATAATAAGATGGGGTTTTTATCAGTTTAAAAAATGCTTCTTCACATGATTAAGGCTTTTTTAAAGTAGTATAAAATATCTCCTTTCAAATATTGACTATTATGTTGATTTATCTACAAATGTCAACCCAATTTACCTCAAAACGTGAGTGAAAACAGAGGAAAAAATGTATTTCACAAGCTTTATCTAAAAACATAATTGTTTTTCCAGCTAAAAGTTCTTAAATGTAAAGTTCTTAAGTAAATTATGTTCAGACTTAAGAGCATTATTAACAATGTAATCCTTAAAGGGCAAGTGGGGTGTGCAGTATGTTTTAAATGTTTATTGTTCTGTTTATTCCTTGTCATGTTCTCTTTGTAAATGAACGTCAGCCTGCACTAACTAACTAAGAGAATTTAACAATTAATTGTTAAAAGTCATGTTTTACGACTGTGATCGAAAGCTGGAGTACCTGGTGAGAAAAATCATAAAGACAGATGGTATTAAAACCCAGAGTCTTCTTGTTCAAAGCCCACAGTGCAACCAAATAAGGTTTTCAATTTTCCATCTTTGTCTTACTAACAGATTATGTCCAGGCAGTGAGGGGGTTGATGATGTGTGGCTTGACACTCGCGTTCTTCGCAGTCGTTTGCTGCTTCGTTGGGATGGAGTGCACTTATATCGGAGGAACAGAACCAACCAAAGACAAACTGGTCTTTTCAGGAGCTGTTTTCCATTTTGTTGGTGGTGAGTGCAAGAGTTCATGGTGTGTTTTCTTATGAAAAAACAGCAAAAATGTTTTGCCTTCATTTAATTTGTTGGTTTCAACGAAACTTCTGCACACAGGTGTGTCATGTCTTGCTGCCTACTGCTTATACATCAACAGAGTCGCCAGAACAGCTTTTGCCTCCAACTTACCAAGGGGAGAATTAAGGTATAGTTTTTTATATATATAAAAATGCTGCATAAAACAGTTTTAATAAAACATGTATATCAAGATTTTGTTTTATGTTTTAATTTCAGATATGATCTAGGACCGCCCATATTTCTGGGTTTGGTGGGATGTTTTTTAATCTTTTTCGGGGCTGTGCTGTATGTTGTAACAGTCATCGGAGTAATCTTCCCCAACAGGTATCTACAGTAAATCCCTCATCAGCATCTCTGTCCAATACAATAAGCTGACCATTCAATTTATGTTTTGCTTTTTAGAAGAGTGATACAGGTTTATGGTCGACCAACATACATGCCTCCAGCCTACAAAGGAAGAAGCATGTACACTGGATACTACGAACCCTCCAGACTGTATGGGTCTTACGTCTCAGGGAGAACAAGCAGCAAGGTCTCTAGGCTGTCACAACCTTCACCAAGACTGTCAGAAAGAGATGCTTTTGTGTAGTGATAATGCCTCTGCAAGTCTTGCAAAGTTCTTCAATATGGTTCTAAATAAGTGTATGACGTTTCATTAAACTAAATAGAATGTTTATATATAATTTTCAATTGATTGCTTTGTTTTCCTTTTGAAATGAACAGTGATAAATAATCTTATGGTTACTTTTATCAATTAGCCACAGATATGTTAGGTAATTCAGTGTATATGCTGTAAATATGGTAAGGCTCAGCCCCGATTATCACCTTTTTTAAACAATGTAATGTTAACTAATTTAGTTGATTTTCCAGTATGTAAAGGCAAAGAAATTGCTGAGCCAAAAGTGAAACTGTCTATTTACACCCTATTTTTGACCCCCAAGTTAGATGACAGAAAGACAGACAGACAGGATGGAAGGATGAATGAATGGACAGACTTACTTACACACTTCACAAAATTTGGATGAGCTCCAGGAACACCTCTAAATCTAAATCTGCAAACTGATGAACTACTCTTCAAAAGTGCAAAAAGTACAGGTTTAATATAACCCTTAGCAATATTTCAGCTTAATGTTGTTTTCTTTTTTCTATCACTATATTAGCAAACCGAAATATATCACATAACCTCACTATTTATAACACTTTTTCCAAAAAAAACCTTTAAAAGACAAATAATAAAATTAATCTTATTCAAAGCGCCTTTCGACACATACAAGGGCACTACAATACAAAGGATATAAGCAACAAAACACAATATTAAAAATAGGACAGGGCAGTCAGTGGAAGTATGCAGTCAAAGGTAAAGATTAAGTTAATCACCATGATGTCAAATCTGACATTGACCAAAAAACTGTGTTAAGAGATAAACACAAATATAGACTTTTAGTATCTCAGAAACTTCTTGTCAAACATCAAAGGAAGACATTTTAACTCAACAAATAACTCTGTCTCACATATCTTTAAAAAAAATAACAAGTGAGGATTCAAATCATTTTATGCACTTTTAAATTAAATATATTTTTTAATCATGAATTTCATCATGAACTTTTTTATGTAGCAAAAATCAACTAACCCTAATATGGCAAAATTCAAACCTTTGGTTTTTGGTCATAATGTTTGTCTGTCTTTCTGTAATATAAATATTTGCTATGTTTACTCTTTTACTGTGATTCAATGAGAGCAGATAATGTGACTATGTCTTAGAAAACCTGTTATTTCTACTATGGCCAAGTTAATCTGTCACGTATTTCTCCACTGTATTTAGTAGCACTGCAGGTACATTTCAATAAATCATTACTTGCTTGATATTTATGATTCTTCTCTCTCAGTGTATATTTTGTCACATTTGAATTTTATAACCTGTCTGGGGACAGAGCTGGCAAAAACTGAATCAAGCTGGAAGGTTCTGAGGTTTACACATCAAACATATTAGCTCAAGTGCTCTTTACAAAACACAGGAAGTGCCCTTCAAGGCATAACATGTGATGATGTACACAGACCTGGCTGTGTGCGTTTGTGTGTGTTTTTCCATCTCAGAGCAAAGGGGATCGGGGAGAGTTGAACAGGTTCTAAATCGAAGTGTCTCACGGTTTCAGGAGTTTGGATTGTTAATTCTTGTCTGAACCTGGCGGGTCAAAATGGGTTACAGGACTGTGGTGATGTACTCAGAGATTGGCTGCTTTGTGGTCTGCGTGGCTGGATGGATCCTGGTCTGTTCAACGCAGCCCACAGAGATCTGGACTTGGTCTGAGGTTGGCAGTATTGTCCTAACGACAGCCAACTACTTCTCCAATCTGTGGAAGGACTGCATTTCTGACTCTACCGGTGTATCTGACTGTAAGGGAATTCCATCAATGCTGGAATTGAACTGTAAGTACAGCACAGGGCATCCTGCTAAGGTATTTACATAATATCAAGCTTATTCAGACCCACTGATCTGATCTATTCCACCTAAGTTTCAGTTGTATGTGTAGGGTCATTGTCCTGCTAAAAGGTAAACCTTTTAAGTTGCTGGCAGTATCATATTAGATCATTAGAACAATGTTTTTAGGAGGAAAAGCAGAGTTAGTTTTTTGCCATATATAGCATTTGGCACACAGAACAGGTAGTTTAACTTTAGTCTCAACTGATCAGAGGATCTTCTGTGTTTGCTCTCTCAGCTACATGAATTCTAACAAAGCTCAATATATCTTTTGCTTTTCTTCATTCAGTTTGTTTCTTGCTGTTCTTCCATAAAGGCAAGATTTGTAGAGTGCACAGGTTATCATGTCACTCTGTCCCACCTGGGAAAGGGAATGTGGAGCTCCTCCAGAGTGGACTTGTCGGTTGTTTCTCTAACTAACACTGTGCATGGTTGGGCTCTTTGGCAAAAAGCACATGTTTTAAGGGGTTTCCACCTAATTAATACTCTTAAAAGTTTAATTCTGTTTACTTACATAGTGCCTGTTCACACTACACATCATCTCAAAGCACTTTAAAAACACAATTCAAACAAATCATCCAAAGAAATTTGGTTAAAACATATCTATCTAAGGAAATACAGACAATTGCATATAGTCATTGACATCACAGGAGTTGCTTCTCTTGGATGTGCCTATAGGGAAATGACACATTCTCTTGCAATATGTTGTTGACGCTGCAGCAATCCCTCAAACCAAGCATGCATGCAGAGAGAGCGAGGAGGAAAAGCTCCCTTTTAATAGGGAGAAACCTCCAGCAGAACCAGGCTCAGTGGGAGCAGCCTTCTACCTAGGACATCCGGGGGTTTAAGAACACAAGCGGACCCACAGAAGGAACACAAAAGCCCTGATCCATAAATACATTCAATGTTATAGAGGGTTACTTTAAACTAGCTCCATACATGGCTCTGTGTGGGAAAGATGAGCTATGAGCTGGTTTCATATCTTAAGGGAGGATAAAGAGCACATAGAGTTAGTCACAGTCGAGGCTGAGCTCATAGCTATGTCTAGGAGAGAAACAGGATTAACCATTGAAAAACAAGTCTCATTCTATCGTCTATAATTGCAGTTGTTGACGGCAGCAGCCCAGCTGATGCCTCTCTCCAGGATGGTGTTACAGCTAGACAGAGAGCCAGGTCAGATGTAGCTGGAGCCTCTTGTAAACCTGCAGAATGGGAGCAGAGCGCTATTTTCTGGAACAGTCAGAGCTCTGGTATAAGACAGAGCTTTGTTATTTAGGGCCCTATAAGTGAGAGAGAGGATCGTCTTCTGAATCTAACAGAAGGTAAGCGTGGGGAAGCTAAAATAGGAGAAATATTAGCTCTCTTTTTAAAATTTAATCAGAACTCTGGCTGCTGTGCTTTTCGATCAGCTGCAGCCCACCCCTTCAACAACACTCTATAATCAGGGGACTTCCTGAAGAAGCAATTTCTAGAAACCTGTTTAACATGAAATTTACTGCAAATATTGATTAAAAAAATAACATCTCCACCCAGATGAAGTGACTGGCTGATTGGCTACAGTCTTAAGACTCTGGTCCAAAGACAATACCTTCTGTCTTTGGACATAAGCAGAAGATTTAAAGTCATTTAGCTTTTTATGTCCTCAATACATTAGTCTATGTAACGGGTAGTAGTAGAAATGTATCCCATGATATCTGATAATTCTACCAATTGCAAGAATATAATAAAGGGAATTACTCCAGCAATGATTACTGTGGTAATTCACATGTGACCCTGGAGCCTAAAGAGCAAATGATGGATTCCATCGTGTTTTTGTGAAATGTTCAAAGCCTTCCAATTTCTTCACAGCTTCATTCCTGAGTTGTCTGCTGTGTTCCTTACTGTTCCTGATGTGTTTTGTTCACTATTGTTCTCTAACAAAACTTGCAATAGTTACACTGAGCCTGGATGGCACAGAAGTGGACAATTTGCAAATTGGGTTTATCTTGAAGATAGATTTTTATCTCAGGACATCATAGCAAAGTGGGCTCGATAGAAATGCATAGCTTTTCTTTCCTTCCACTTTTTCTGTTGTGATCTACACTATATTGCCAAAAGTATTTGCTCACCCATCCAAATTATTGGAATCAGGTGTTCCAATCACTTCCATGGCCACAGGTGTATAAATTCAAGCACCTAGGCATGCAGACTGTTTTTACAAACATTTGTGAAAGAATGGGTCGCTCTCAGGAGCTCAGTGAATTCCAGCGTGGAACTGTGATAGGATGCCACCTGTGCAACAAATCCAGTCGTGAAATTTCCTCGCTCCTAAATATTCCACAGTCAACTGTCAGCTGTATTATAAGAAAATGGAAGTGTTTGGGAACGACAGCAACTCAGCCACGAAGTGGTAGGCCACGTAAACTGACGGAGCGGGGTCAGCGGATGCTGACGCGCATAGTGCGAAGAGGTCGCCAACTTTCTGCAGAGTCAATCACTACAGACCTCCAAACTTCATGTGGCCTTCAGATTAGCTCAAGAACAGTGCGCAGAGAGCTTCATGGAATGGGTTTCCATGGTCGAGCAGCTGCATCCAAGCCATACATCACCAAGTGCAATGCAAAGCGTCGGATGCGGTGGTGTAAAGCACGCCGCCACTGGACTCTAGAGCAGTGGAGACGCGTTCTCTGGAGTGACGAATCGCGCTTCTCCATCTGGCAATCTGATGGACGGGTCTGGGTTTGGCGGTTGCCAGGAGAACGGTACTTGTCTGACTGCATTGTGCCAAGTGTAAAGTTTGGTGGAGGGGGGATTATGGTGTGGGGTTGTTTTTCAGGAGCTGGGCTTGGCCCCTTAGTTCCAGTGAAAGGAACTCTGAATGCTTCAGCATCCCAAGACATTTTGGACAATTCCATGCTCCCAACTTTGTGGGAACAGTTTGGAGCTGGCCCCTTCCTCTTCCAACATGACTGTGCACCAGTGCACAAAGCAAGGTCCATAAAGACATGGATGACAGAGTCTGGTGTGGATGAACTTGACTGGCCTGCACAGAGTCCTGACCTCAACCCGATAGAACACCTTTGGGATGAATTAGAGCGGAGACTGAGAGCCAGGCCTTCTCGTCCAACATCAGTGTGCGACCTCACAAATGCGCTTCTGGAAGAATGGTCAAAAATTCCCATAAACACACTCCTAAACCTTGTGGACAGCCTTCCCAGAAGAGTTGAAGCTGTTCTAGCTGCAAAGGGTGGACCGACGTCATATTGAACCCTATGGATTAGGAACGGGATGTCACTTAAGCTCATATGTGAGTCAAGGCAGGTGAGCAAATACTTTTGGCAATATAGTGTACTTCAAGGTAGTCTGACAGGTAAAAATAAACAAATGCATAAAAATTTGTGGTTGTTATGGTAAAAATGTTCAGACTGTATGAACATTTTCCAAGAATCTGCTCCAGGAAGCTTGGTCCAAAACAAAAACATTCAAATTGTTCTGCTTTTTAACAGGGGACATTCACATGTGCCGAGCTCTCATCATCATCAGCATTATCTTGGCCTTCTTCGGATGCATTCTGGTCTTAGTGGGAATGAAGTGCACCAAGATTGGGGGCTCAGAGATTACCAATGCAAAAGTAACATTTGCTGGTGGAATGAACTACCTTATAGGAGGTAAAAGCCAGAACGATCTTATTGATGTACTCATTGTGGTTAATATTTAAAGTAATCTCCTTGTGTTGTTTCAGGCCTGTCCGCAATGACAGCGTTCTCATATTATGGAAACAAAATTCGATCAGAGTTTGACAACCCCAACTTCGTTGAACAGAAGTATGTGCAACATGTCTAATATTAAAGGAAAATTCCGGTTTTTAACACTTTTAGCCCATTTTCTGTAGTGTCCAGGATGAAATCGAATGATCGACACCAAAATTTTGACAGTTGGTCCTGTCTCTGCTATTTGGCTCATGCAGAATCCCCCCCTGGCTGCTTCAGAATGGCTTCCATAGTGCATGTCCGATAATGTCCTTAAAACAACCTTAAACGTTCTTTTTTTAAAATATACTACTCATGGGTCGTCAGCGCTGTTCAATGACGTTCCAAAAAAAGTTTCGTAAAGAATAAACGTTCCTGTAGTGTTTTATTTAGCATTTTGTAAATCCCATTGAGTTCTGTTGGAATAGTCAATATCCCTCTGCCACCTGAAACGGAAATGGGGCCTGTTTACACTTAGTTGTAGTCTTTTCGCTTCACTCTGTGTACTCTGACGTCGAGGTGCTAACGTCTCTGTTAAACACTTTAAAAAACTCTGAAAATGGAATACGAAAGGTGGATTCTTGAGGAGGACATATTGGACTTTGAGTTTGACGGTAGAGGATACCGTTTTGAACCGGAATATACTGAGGAGGAGTATATAGAGACATTGTCGCCAACTAGTGGTCTGGAGTGTGCAACGCTTCAGATTCGAACGGGAAGCGGAAGTTTATAAGCGGTTGTGATGTATCGGAAAAAATAGTTCTGGGATTTACAAAATGCTAAATAAAACAAGACAGGAACGGTTTTTCTTCACAAAACTTTTTTTGGAACGTCATTGAACAGCGCTGACGACCCGGTGAGTAGCATATTTTTAAAAAAGAACGTTTAAGGTTGTTTTAAGGACATTATCGGGCATGCACTATGGAAGCCATTCTGAAGCAGCCAGGGGGGGATTCTGCATGAGCCAAATAGCAGAGACAGGACCAATTGTCAAAATTTTGGTGTCGATCATTCGAATGCATCCTGGACACTACAGAAAATGGGCTAAAAGTGTTAAAAACTGGAATTTTCCTTTAAGTATGTATAAACAAAACAAAAGCAACACTTCAGTAGCTCTTTTGGTTGTTACCAGGTTTGAGATCGGAGTTGGAGTCTTCATCGGCTGGGGAGGCTCCACTTTACTTGTTGCTGGAGGCCTTGTGTACTGTATCTTAGCTGGGAGGGAAGCATTCGACTCAAGGTAAAAATGCTGATTCTGAATGTTTTGTTTTAACATTCAGCTTTTTCAATTGTCTCTAAAATAAAGCTGTATATTTGTCTAATTTAATCCTCACAGACCAAAGAAAGACCTCATTAACCAGTACCCTGGCTACACCTTTGTTCCGTCAAGAAAGAGCTACGCATCATCAGCTCGCACAGAGATCACAGACACCAAGAAAACAAGAAGCCAAAGAAGCTCAAGCGAAAGCAGAAACAGCAGCATCTCTACCATCTCCAGCTATACTAGACAGACGGGCAGCAATGTTTACGTCTGAATTTTATTTGTAGAAGGGAAGCAATGTGCAGTGCTATGAAAAAATATTCGCTCTCCCTACATATATTTTTCTGCTCCTTTTTCTTTCCCATATCTACATTTTTAGATCAAACAAGGCATTTTAATGTAAGACATAGATATTCTAAATTAATGCAAAATATGGTTTTCATATGATAATTGCATTAAGGGAAAATTGTTGTAAAAAAAAAAAAAATCATCCAATGTAAAATAAGTAATTTGTGTAAGCATGAATAAACTCACTATCTTGATTTTCAACCTTATTTTGAGGTGGTTCCACTAGCCAAACCTAGGGCTTACCTGCAAGGCTTACAGAATAGATATATCCTTTTATATACAGTAAAAATATGTCTGATAATATGAAGCAGATAGAAAAAATCTCCAACCAAAAGAACTGGACCAATCCCTGAAGTTAGAGCTCTGGACAACCACAGTGAGATTTGTTTTGCACACATGGAGAAAACATAAGGGAGTGGTTCAAGATTAAAGCTTTATTTCTTATTCTTGAGATACAATTTTCATTTACAGTAGTCATTAAAGGTAGAATATAACAAACACATCAAACAAAAGAAAAATACGTGCGTGTGTATGTGTCTTTGTGTGTCCTAAATGGTCAGGCAAAAAAATAACAAAGAAGTCAGAAACATTCTTTATACAATATCATGAAAAGGTTGAGGCAAAAATTAAGTTTAATTTCATAAATAAAATGAGAAAAACTTACAGAAATATGAGAACTGGACAAAAAAATCAAGAAATCAGGGCAAAGCATTTGAGACACAGGAAGGGAACCATTGGACAATGAGGCAGATGGAGAGAAGATTCCAGCCAGGAACAATTAAGGTAGGAGAGGAGAAAGAGATATAATATGAGAAGGACCAGATAGAAAAATAAAAAAACAGTGAAAAGCCAACAGAAAATATCTCAATGTATAGAATAAACTTTGAAAAATATTATGTGGTAGGATGTAAAAAGATTATAATATTATAAGAGAACCCATACACCAAGTTAACAGAGATAATAAATAAAAGTAAACATTTAAACAAAGTGGGATCATGACATATAATGAAACATGGTGGTGGTGGTATGACTGTCTGGGTCTGCTTTGCTGCTTCAGGGCCTTGATGATATACTATTACCGATGAAGTCATGAACTTACCACTTAACTCTGATCTCTTCTGGAATGTTCTGTAGAAGAATCAGTCCTTAACCTTAATACCACCTGGGTTATACTGCAGAATAGGGCTGCAAGTATTGATTAGTTCAGTAATCTATTTCTATGATTCATTTAAGGATATATATGCTTAGCACATTAACATACATCAATATAAAAGTGTTTAAATTGAAAAACAAACATTAAAGACTTCAAAATGTATATTTTATTTAAAGTTAGAAATGATCTGATTGCTAAATTGGTTGATGATTATTTCAATAATCGATTAATCTGATTGTTTTGTCCCTACAGCAGAACTGAATAACTGAACTGCAAGTCCACCTCTAGTGGCTTAAAACTACCAAATTCTAGGTTTTAAAGTAACCTAGTATGATTATGGACTTAGATCAGATTGGGAATGATAACGCTATACGATGCTTTTATGTGATCAGAAACAGGTAGTTTATAAGTAAAAAGAAATGTGTTTATATTTATGGTTAAATCTAAAAGTTTTTGCAAAGAAGAATGGAGCTGGTTTCTCTTCACTGTGATGGGAAACGATTCATGTCAGATATTACTATAAATTGACAGAGGGAAGATACGTTAAATTTAATCGGAAGTAATATTGACACAAAGTATCATTTAAAATCTACTTTGGTGATTATTCATGTTGACATGGTCTGATAATATCATCTGTTTTAAAATAAAAGGAATAACACCTGAGAGATATTCAAATATTCTTTCACAGCACTGTACAGTGTCTCCATTAAGCTAAATGCTTTCAATACAGCATCAGTTTATGCCCTCTGCTGGCTAATAGTTTTTTATTTAATAGAAAAACTTTTTATTATCTATTATTAAAAATTATTAAAATTATTAAAAATACAACCTAAAATGTTAAATTTAATCTTTAATTACATTAATAAACAAATGCAAATGTAAATGGATTTTAAACACTGCCTATGGTATGTTTTCAAAAGCAGATATTTCTCATTTATACTATAAAGTTGTTGTTTTTTATAATAACATTATTTTAATAAAAAGTTAGATGTTAATCAACCAAAATAAATTAATAAAAGTTTGGTGCGGAAATAATATTAATTCTTGTCTCATTTTGTCAAAATGTTCAAACTTTACAAAAGGGTATTTTTTGCAGTTAAGGAATAGTTGAGTTGTTTTTAGAGCAACACTGCCAAAAATTCAGCTACATTAAAACATTCATCAGGTTGGTTAAAAAATCTAACTTTAGGAAATTTTTCATAAACAAACCCAGGTGTACCTTTGTATTCATACTTTTATAAGTTGACCAGATTGTCTGGGGTCTAATGCAACATACTAAAGACCATCTCCTTTAGCCACTTTTCAAAGTGGGAAAGACAAGAGAGCATGGTGTTAGATATGTTTACTAGTCTTCATAAGACTAGCAAAAATATCTTAAGACTAGTAAACTATCTGGTGAAAACTGATCAAACTTAAACATTTGTGCTGTCAGAGTATTAGTTATTCATTTTTAATCTGTGAGAACTAAGATAAACAGGACTTAGCTACAGGTGGATTGTTAAAGAAGTTAAAAACACAAAACTCAAAGGTCCCTGTTAGAGCGGGAAAGTGGTCAGTAAGAACTGATGTTAAAGGTTTGAAATATTTACTTATTTTACCGTAGTTAGCTTTCAGTGTTGTTTTCGTCAAGAACGACAATGGCGGAATTATTTTGCTGACGCTCCTTTTTTTTTCAGGACGATAACGAACACTGACGAGCTCAACGTGGATGTTTTATGACAAAAACTTGACGACTCATGGGTGTGAGTTTTCATCAACGAGACGAGGATAAATAAAAATGAGAGCGGCTGGTCGGCCAGACATTTAAAATGCATCATTGTGCTGTAATCCGCTAAGCAATATCAGCCGTGCTGCAGCGTCTTGTTTGGTCATGCCACCCACCTGGTGTGCAGCAGTGCACATTCTGCATGACCAAAGCTCGATCATGGCAGCCGCAGCAGGGGAGAAAATAACCCAGAATGGTCCAGTACTGCTGAACTCTGACAAACTGATTGTCCAGCTGTGCTTGTGCAGAGATACGTCTTTGCACACACGTAGCTCAGAGTCTGTGCTTTACTGTATGCTCCACACTGATAGTTCGCTGTCAGTAGTATGTCTCTTCCTGCTCTTGCTACTTAATAAACTATGTGGCTGATCATCCCCTGCTAAGCATAAAAAAACCTGTGTTGAACTATCAAGATTTATTTCTTCCAGCTCACAATAGGTGATACTAAAAATGCTTTAATATCTACCAAAAGGAATCCCTAAAGTATATCCAAAGAAAATATTTCATTGCATAATGTTTATTTTTGCATAAAGGGCCAGGTGTTTACCTGTGCAAAGAAAGAAACAACGAAAGAAAAATGTCTGAGGACTTCAGTGTTGAGGAAGAGCATGAGTTCTTTGAGAGAGAAGAGAAAATATTTGAGAGAGAGTGCATGTTTTGAGTGTTAGCATTATAAGTTTTGAGTGCAAGAAGATGACATTCTTTTCTCAAATTGAAATTATGTGCTCTTGCATTATGGCAGGATAATTCTCCCATAGTCGATGCCATTACAAAAATGGACAGTGCAGAAATGTTACAGCAATGACTCAAATAATCACCTACAAAGTTAAAAAGACAAAGGGCACTATGACCATAAAAAGCTAAAATGTATAAATAAATAAAAAAATCCTAATCTCATATAATGTTTGGGGGGTGGAGCTTGAAGTGTGTGTGTGTACTTGTTTTACGGTGTGGACACTTTAATCTGTTTACACAGTCACCTCATGGTGACCTATGTCCTTATGGGGATCAAAATCCTGGTCCCAATATGGTAAAGTTCTGTTCTTTGAGTTGGGGTTGGGGTTAGGTGTATGTTGGTAATAGTTAGGGTTAGGCTAGGGATCTGGTTTAAATGAATGTAAGTAAATGAAATGTCCCCATAAGTCATGTGTGTGGGGGTGTGTGGGGGAGTGTGTATCTGTCTAGCCCTCAGAGTGAGGACCGCAATTCCATTTTCACAATCAAATTTTGCAAGTCCTCACATGCTTTTTTGCTAATGGTTAGGTTTAGGGCTAACATGTTAATTAGTTAGGGTTAGGGTGAGGTATGCATCAGTAATGTTAGGTTTAGGGTTATTTTTAGGATTAGGGCATAAAAAGGGTTTAAAATGAATAAAAATCAGTGGAAGTCAATAGGACTCAACACATGGTCCTCACTACGATGGCAGAACTAGTATGTGTGTGTGTGTGGGGGGGTGGGGGTGGGGGGTGGGGGGAGTTGTGGGCGTGTCCTATGTCAGCATTCTAAGGGACATCCCATAATTCTGTGATGTCATTGCTTTAGAACCCTGATGTCATCAGATCAGAATTCATTATTGCATTATTGCTTGCAGCACCACTGACGAGTTCAGACGTAAGCATAGCCCCCTTCTAGTCGAGATTTCAAACTTTTTACAGATTAACACAAACTTTAACAACCGTTTATTTGTGTTAAAATGCCACATCAAAGGCAACATTACCACAACGGTGGGAGCAGATATCAGCCGTATAGTTTGGAAGCTCGACAAAATCAGAAAAGCTGCATTAACAACAGGCAGCCTAATAATCCTGTCCAGGATGAAATCAAAAGGCTCAACTCTCTTTTGGAAATGGAGAAATCTAAATGGTTGGAGGAAAACCAAAAGGTATCCACCCTTGAGGAAGAGCTTGAAAAAGCAAAAAGTGAGTTAAAACGGCAGAAAAATCTCAAAGAGATGTTCATTAATAAGGGCAAAGAAACCAAGCGAGAACTGATGAGAATTCAAAAGTTTACAGATCCAGAAATTCTCAGCCCTGCCACTATCGCATCTAAGGTGAACAATGACATGAAATACAAAAAGAAAAAGATGCTGCAAGTAGACTTTGAGCATTTAAAGGTTGCTCATATTGTCCAAGAGGAAGCATTTATATCACAAATCCAAACTGAAAAAGAGAAAAATGCTGCCCTCCAACAAGAACTAGACAAAATCAAGAATTGTTACGAGGAGCTTCGCTCTACAGACGAAACTGAGAACGCTGGAGCAAACCAGCAGGTCAACTTACA